GAAGAAAGGGAGAAAAAAAAAAAAAAAAAAATAACCCCCCCCCCCCCCCCCTCCCCCAAGGAAATGAGTTGTCTTGTATCCAATAACTCTGGTCGTCCTTATTTCGTGTATCATTTTAGCCCAAATTCAACCAATTAGATTGGGTAGAATAATAGATTTTTGAGGTGTTTTCCTGTTAAAACTATGGAATGCATGGGACATGGGGAATTGAGATGGCTAATTTCTAACTTCTGAAATTTGCACATTTTTGTACAAGTGGAGCATTTGGTTTATGAATGATATCAACCTCACAAAGTTTATTTTTGTATTATATATGCTTTTAAATTTCAAAAAAAAAATATATATATATTTATAATAATAATAAAATAAAAATAAATAATAAAGGAATTTATTAAGGGATCCAACTCCTACATCACAAAGTGAAATGAGAATATTATCGTGAATATAGAAATGTCATCTATGTTTATCGTACAAAACATTTGAAGCAAAGTGAAGGGATTACATATGTCAAATTCATTCAAATAAAGGATACACAGATTCCTCATCTGATATCTCCAAGTTCCTTCCCAGTGACTGTCCCGTCAATAAAAGATTGACATGTCACCCCAATTTACTTCCCTTTAACTTTTAATTTTCCCATTTATCATAGATAAAAGTACTTCTTTCATATGTTATCACGTTATAAAACAGTACAAGCTCAACATATTTCATTATTTTGCCTAAGATAAAAAATATTTCAGTGAATAGAGAATTTTCATTTTACAAAATGTTTAGCCAAGTACGGTAGAACATACATAATAGATCGAACATGTTTTGATCGCAAAATTATTATCAACAAATGCGTCTTACTTAGCCACGATTTTCTTAATGAATGATAAATGATGGCTATTTAATGGATTTCTAACTAATTGTGTTACACACATACACGCACGCACGCACATATATACTCACATGTACCTTGATAACGGCTTATCATGGGTCTTTTGTTACCCTTAGTTGTGAACTTTCATCTCTCATGGATATTTCATCTTTTGAGGCTCTCGTATTGTTTGGGTTCATAAAAGAGACATGAGCCCTCTTGCTCATTTCTTTGTACTTATTCAAAAAATAATCCCCCAAGTTCGAACTTAAATATTTATATTTTGACTGCGAACTTGCAATCTTGTACTTCCACAGTTTTTTTTGTGTACCAATGATAATTATTGCATTTTTAGATGAAACATTTCTAGTTTTCATGCATTTTAATGCGCGTAAAATATACACTTGCTCTGGACCAGTTTTTTGAATGTCTCTTTGTATTCGTTGGGATTACTCTATCTTTTATGGCTGATAATGAGCCAATTGGGATGCAATGGTCGAGATGTACATTTAAATCCTATATATAATGCCTCCAGTTTGAGCGAACGTTTTGCTGTCGTAGATTGTTAAGCTTTTGATGTTAAATTATTTTTGATGCACATGAAATAGTTCTAAACAAAATCTACGACAGCAGAGTCTGCCTTTACTTATCTTTTAGTTTGAGCGACCTCCAAAGATGAGAACATCGGATGTATTGCAAGGAATAAACGATCGTGTGTGCTTATATGTGTAAATTGTTATGTATTAAATTGAAGGCTATCGAATTCGATTGAGCCCATTTAAAGTAATCTAATAAGGATATGGTTTTGGACTTTAATGCATCTAATTAAAGTATGGATTTATTTTATGTGTAGAGATCGAGCCCAAATTCCTAATTCTATGATGGGCCGAATTAGGTCAAAAGGGCATATATATATATATATATATATATATATATAATCAGACACATAGAGAGAGTGTGTTGTATTGTTCATTCTCTTCTGAATCTCATCATAGAGAGAAGGAGACTACGTATTGATTTGAAAGACTAAGTTGCAGGGATTCGATTATTGCATTAACCATTCTCATTTAGGTACACTTCCGTTATAGGTCATGAATTTCTTAGTGATCCAACATGAAAGATCTTGTGAATTTTAAGATAACAAAATAATTATCCTACATGTATTATGTTAGATTAGCTCGCAATATGTATTCTTTTAATCTTGTAATATTTCTCTATATCAATAATTTCTAATTTCGTTCATCTATTTTTGTTCGTTATGTTTGATTCAACTAGGGACCTCGAAATAAATTTAACAGTTGCTCAAGTTTAAGTTCATCAAATCTGCTTTTTATTAATAATACTTTCTCAAATACATGTCGTTCCAAGAGTGCTCAAGGGGTTCGCCACTATTATCTGCGATCTTGTATGTTCCCGACCTAATTACTTTGATTACTGTGATGGTCCTTTCCATTTTGGGCCTAGCAAACTAGAGCTTATTTCATTGTCTGCAACGGAAACCTTCTTTAATAGGACGTCCCCTATAAAAAAAAATTATATTATAATCAAATGACAAAGTTGATAGTTTTCCAAGCAGTCAATTAAATACTATTTTAGAGGCAGAAGCAAAATCTAATTGTTCAACCATTTCTTTCAATATAATCACTACGTGCATCACCGTAATGGGTCCTATAATTAAATACTAACAAAAGCCAATATAACTCGACAAGGGTGCAATACTACAATGCAATTATTTAAGCCAACACCAAATCTATTGTTATAAGTACTCAATAATCAGACACTAAATCTAATGAATCCTAAATCAACTCATACTCCAATATAAAATTCAATTCAATGTATTAAAAATTAAGTGAAGTAACTGCGTGCGTAATTCGTTGCGGCGTCAAAGTGATTTAGTGGGAAATTGAAGCAACAACAACCTGAAACTTTTTGCGGATCTGTCAAGATCAAACCAAATTATATTTGATGAAGACTGAATAAATATAAAAAACCATGAATAAAGTATTAAAGCTACTGCCTAAAAAGTGTATAAAACAGATAAATAAACATGGATAATGGATTTAAGCATAAACGATAAATGTAAACTTCTACATAACTAAAGAAAATTAAAAAGTGGGTCCAATGACTAATGAGAAAACTAAAAAATACTGCATAATTGATTTATACAAGAAAAAATAAAAATCAAATATTAAAAAATTCAATCTCACCTACGTATTCCAAAGGCAATCCAGAACACCAAAGGCATCAAATATTAGACTGCAAGTGTAATCTCATATACATAATATAGATACTTAACCCTAATTACAATATTAACTGAAGACCTCATCCATAATAGAAGTCCTCAAATAGGAATTACCATAACGATATAAGGAGCAGCTCGGCCCAATCACTGTCAGCTCAGTGTACTCCGCTGTAATCATGGGACATCGTGGTTATTGATTTGACTAAGACGATGTCATCACCTCTGTTTTGCCCAATTCCCTAATGAAACGTTACATCATTGACGTAAGCACCTCAACCAACCAATTAGAGATCACCTATGATGGAGTAACTGCAATCGCAAGGAACATCATGATGAGCCATAAAGAGCCGATCTCGCTATCGAATAAGATGACTTCTTTAGTTAAATGATTTGGAACAATTAATAAGAAGGCACTTAGCTGATGTTAGATGGCAACTCAAATACTGTTAACGACATGACAAAGGCAGCCAATCCTTCTTTAGAACAGTGCTTCGGTGCTTTATGTTGGCTCCTGCCCCAGCTTTTGCCGAACGGGTCGAGTCAGCTAATTGGTGTGTACTTCCTATGAAAGGAAGTTTCCCTTATTAAGGATATGCCTTTGCATGTCCTTCAACCCATTTTTTAACCCCAAGTGCTAAGAAATGATGAGTCTAAAGGGTGGTACTATTTGACCTCGTGGGGAGGCTCATGCTCCATTTGTAATGGGTTCCTCTCCTCCATCAAATGGTGAAAGGAGTCATAGGGTGGTACTATTTGACCCGGGGGGGGGGGGGGGGCTCATGCTCCATTTGTAATAGGTTCCTCTCCTCCATCAAATGGTGAAAGGAGTCATGGTTCTGGATCAAGGGGGTGGAAAATTGTTGAGGGAGATTCAGCTCTAGCTTGGATGTACTAACCTAATATTCCAAAGCCCGTGAGTCCTTAGCCATATCTTGATTTGCCTTCTATTTCTTAACTGCAATTAATATTCTACTATTCTCTTGCAAATTTCGGTTCGCGCTTTGAACTTCACGAGACGGAGTGGGACATGATTGAAGACAACTACAAATGTCCTTTGAAGTTGCGGCATTTTGATTACCTCATTGATCGGAGCAAATACTTCATCAACTTCAGTTTGATGGCTTCCAGGGGCAAGAATTGGGCCTTAACTATCTCTAATACTTACCACGGGAGGTCTATGCATCAACTACAAATTTTTATAAGTTTTGGACGAATGGTAGCAGCTGCACATGTCCATCTGTGACACGATGGACTTCATTGCAGTGTTGGTGAGCCAAAGCGCCAAGGCCTTTGGAGTGGCTTTGGAATGTCAAGTCACTTTGGTTGACATTCAGTCAAGGAATAAGTCCTTAGTGGACAAGTTGGCCTCTGCTGAGGAGGAAATAAAGAAGCTCAGGGTTGAAAATATTGAGGATACTACTAAGTTGGATTCTTCCTTAGCGGAGATAGAGGCTCTGAAAAGGGAAGTCCACGAATCCCAGTGCGAGGTCGCATCTTTGACAAAGAAGGTTGAAACCTCAAACACTCGTCAAAAGTTGACATGAGAAGCCCTAGAGTAGGCCAACTTGCAGCTCCAAAGGGCTAGGAACGCTAACCAAATTTTTGGAGGCTTAAGTGAAGCACTACTTACATGAGGCCTAGAGGTTAGAAATTGAGTTTTCTCTAGTGAAAGACGAGGCGGTGAAGAATTATATTGCCAACTTTCCATCTCTCAGAGGAGTATCAGAGCTTCACTACCTACTGAAAGAGGTTCAGCTACGTCGAAATGATGGATAAGGCAGAGGAGCTTTTCCTGGATCTGAACAGAGCTAAGCTTAGGGCAGAATATCTAGATGAAGTGCCATAGACCCCAGCTAAAGAAGCAGCCAAGGAGGAAACTCTTGCAGAAGAACCTTCCAAAGAAGTTGTTGCCGAAGCATATGCCGCGAAAGCTAAAGAGCCTCAGCTACCTGCCTCATAGTATAGTTGCTAAAGTTCTCCTATTTTGTAATGGCTACGGGCCTCAGCTTGTATTAACAATTATACATCAATGAAATGATTCTTCTTAAGTTTTTTGTGTTCAACTTGTACATTTTTGCTTGAACTTTCTTTGAATCAATCATCATACTTGACTGTCGTAAATGCCAAGTTCAGGCACATGATAACTAAGTTAACTATTTAAAAATTACCTCACTTGCCTTCAAAGATTTCACATTGGGTTAACAATTCATTTGGTCTTTTAATCGGGATACTTAGCCTTTTCAATCAAATGTAGTAACTTTGCAAGTAGTTGAGTTCTAAAATGGTAGTTGCCTACACCTTTTTTGATCAACAATGGCTTTGGACATTTAATACCAACTAACATATTGGGATGGGCCATAGTCCATAAGATAGCAAAGTTATCCTTTTGTGTGGTAGATGGTTCATCCATTCAAAAGCTTCTCACTTGACGTTCAGCATCGTCAAGTGAGGCATATGATGTATGTCTCAAAGTGCAGACGAGGTGGCCTTCTTTTAAGGTCAAACCCTCGCCTCCGAGGTGCCCACGCTTCCTCACATGGTGAATGGATCATCCATACAAAGGCTTCTTATTTGACGTTCAGCCTCGTCAAATAAGGTATATGATGTATACCTTGGAATTCAAACGAGGTAACCCTCGTTTAAGGTCAAACCCTTTCCTCCGAGGCGCCAACACATCTTTACATGTGGATGGTTCATCTATTTAAAGGCTTCTCATTTGACGTTTAGCCTCATCAAATTCAAACGAAGTAATCCTCTTTTGAGGTCAAACCCTCTTTTCCCAGGTGCCAACGCTTGAACAATCCATTCTTACTCAATTTAAGTAACATCATAGAAAACATAATCTTTCTATTCACATTCGAAAATTCATACAAAAGATGGGTCGAAGCCTCAAGCAACAAAATACATTCATTGGTAGTACACTCTCATATGGTCAACATTCCATGGATAAGGTTGTACTTTACAATTCAAGTCCTCGATCCTATAAGTTCCGGACCTGATCTCTTCCATTATGCGGTAGGGCCTTTCCCAATTTGGACCTAGAGTGCCCATACCTGGCTCCTTGAAAGATAGGAACACTCTCTGAAGCAACATGTCATTAATTCGTAAGGACCTCTTCTTTACTTCGGCATTATAGTAGCAAGTCATCTTCCTTTAGTAAACAGCCAATTTTAGCTGAGAGTCATCCCCTTCTCATCAAGGAAACAAAGTTCACACCTCCTAAGTTCATCATTCGTTATTTTACTGAAGTGTAAACGATATGGAGATTGAAGCCCAACCTCAACCGGGCTCATTGCCTCAATGCCAAGCCCATTAAGAATGAAGTTTCTCTTATGGGGGTCCTAGTAGTGGTTCGGATTGCCTACAACACCTGTGGCAGTTCATCAACCCATGCCCCCTTGGGCATGTCTAGCTTTCTCTTTAAGAGATGCTTGATTGTCTTGTTCACAACCTGAGCTCATTGGCTTGGGGATGATGGGGTATAGAGAAGTGCTTTTTGATTCCCAGCTCATCACATAGGTCCTTAACCTTGTTGTTGTCAAATTGTTTTCCATTTTCAGAGATGATTGAATGGGAAATTCCAAACTACCATATAATATGTTTCCACAAGAACTTGGAAGTGTTTGTTTCCGTAATTCTGGGGTAAAGGCTCAGCTTCCACCCAGTTTGTGAATTAGTCTATAGCAACGATTACAAATATTACACTTCCTCTACCTTTCAGTAGGGGACCTATAAGGTTCATGCCCTACTTGGCAAACGGCAAAAAGCTGGATACTGCAGTCAATTCTTGTAAATGTTGTTTTAAATAAGGGATAAGCACTGGCATTTGTCGTATATACGTAAAAACTGAAGAGCATCATTTTTCAAGGTAGGCCGGTAATATCCCTACCTCAATAATTTTCGTGCTAATTCGAGTTTCCCCAAGTAGTTGCGATAAATACCGTTGTCAATATCCCAGAGTATATAAGTAGCTTCTTTCCCATCAACATATCGAAGGAGGGGGATGAGAAGCCCTTCTTGTAGAGTACATCATCAACAAACACAAAATGAGCTGACCTCCTCCTCAGTTTGTAAGCCTCTTCTTTGTTGTCGGGAAGAACCTGGTCTTTAAAATAAGTAATAATGGGTTGCATCCAGGTAGGAGTCCCTTCCACCCACATCACATTTGGTATAGCAATAGAAGGTTTTAGTAGGTGCTCAATTGGTACTACCATCAACAACTCTAAATCCTTGCTGCTAGCAAGCTTAGATAGTTTATCGATGTGTATGTTTTTAGCAAGTAGGATTTGGACTAGCTCAAAGTTCTCAAACGATGGGAGCAAATCCATCACCAACTTGAGGTAGGAAGCCATGCCCTTATTTCATACTGTGAAGTTGCCATTAACTTGGCACACAATCAATTGGGAATCGTTGATGATTGCAGCATCCTCACTTGCATTTCCTTAGCTAATCTGAGGCTAGCAAGGAACACCTCATACTCAACCACATTGTTGGTGGTTTGCCGAGTTCAGGTTATGACCTTTGGGGCTCAACCTGTGTCTCCAACCGAATCGTCCAAGGTCAATTTCCATGTAGGGGCTCAATAGGGTCTAGCACTTCTGCCACCTTAGGGACATTAGCAAATTTCTGCCACAAAGTCAGTTAAGGCTTGACCCTTAATGGATGCTCTTTCTTTGAAGAGGATATCAAATTCACATGATTCCACTGCTCATTTCAATATTCTTCCCGAGGCATCAGGTTTTCGAAGTACTTAGCTAAAAAGAAAGTTAGTTAGCACATGTATTGTGTAAGCTTGGAAGTAGGGCCTTAATTTTCTAAAGGCTGTGATCATGGCCAAGGCTAGCTTTTCCATGTCGGGGTAGCGAGTCTCAGGCACCAAAAGTGCTTGGCTAGTGTAGTACACGAGTAACTAGATAGTACCATCTTCTCTGATAAGGACCACACTAATGGCCTCATTAGAGATAGCCAAGTACAGTTGTAGAGCTTCTCTAAGCTTAGGTCTCAAGAGAATGGGGGCCTGTCCTAGGTTATTTTTCTTGGGAGGCATTTATCGATGGCCTTCAAGATAAAGCGACTTAATGTTGCCACATGATCGATTAAACTTTGGACCTCCTTCGATTTCTGGGAATCTCATTTCAATTAAAGCACGAATTTTCTCAGGATTAGCTTCAATTTCTCTTTGCTTGACCATGTATCCTAAAAAAATTTCGGACGCCACACCAAACGCACATTTGAGGGGATTGAGCCCTATCCTATACCTTCGCAAAATTTGGAAAAGTCTCATTTATGTGTATAACATGGTCATCTGCCTTCAAGCTTTTAACAAACATGTCATCCACATAGACTTCCATTATCTTACCAATGAGGTCAGCAAACATTTTGTTGACTAACCGTCAATAAGTAGCCCCGACATTTTTCAAACCCAAGGGTATCATTTTGTAGCAATAAAGGCCTCTATCTGTGATGAAAGAGGTGCTTTTCTCATCGACTAAGAACATGAAAATTTTGTTGTAGCTTGAGTAGGCATCCATAGAGCTCAATAACTCATGACCAGCGGTGGAGTCTATTAGTTGATCGATCCTAGTGAGAGAGAATCTATTTTTGGGACATGCCTTATTACGGTTGGTAAAGTCAATATATACCCTCCATTTTTCGTTATGCTTCTTTATCAGCTCCAGGTTGAAGACCTACTTTGGGTAGATGGCTTCTCTGATGAAGCCATTCTTGATCGATTTTTACACCTCTTCCTTTAGGGCCTCGTATCTTTTCGGGTTAAGGGCTCTTCTTTTCTGCCGATGCAAGGCAGCCTTAGGATCGATTTTAAGATGGTGGTAGCTGACCTTGGGATTGATGTCCACCATGTCATCGTGCCTCCATGCAAGGATGTCAAGGTTTCTACTTAGAAAATCCTTGAGTTTCTCCTTGATTTTTGTTGAAAGGCCCTTTCCCACCTTCAGTATCTTGGTGGGATCCTGAGGGTCTACTAAGAAAACTTTCAAGCTCCTCCATTGGAGCTATTTGGGGCTCGAGTTCAGCCACGTGGAGGTCAATTTCATCAAGTACGAACACTTTCTCAAGAGCGTCAATCAAAATTCGGTGTCCTCATGTCCATGATCTAATTCATCTTGGACGTCCATCATGTTCATGTCAACTATTATAAAGTTGATGTCCCGGGGTTCAGCCTTTTTTATTGAACTTGGGTAGCATTTTCGTGCTCTTCTGGTCACCTTTTATAATTGCCACCCCATGTTTGATTGAAAATTTCATGCATAAGTATGGATGGAAGTGACAGCTCCCAAGTCTTTCAGGGCGGATCTTCCCAGAACCCCATGATAAGCTGACTTGCTATCAACTATCAAAAATTCCATGAAGTTCATATTAGTTTGAGATTGTTGTCCCATTTCCACTGCAAGTGTGATCCTTCCACTCGAAGTAATGATATCTTCAATGAATCTATACAAGGGAGTGGTGGTAGGAGTTAGCTTGTAGTCCAAAATCATCTTATCAAATGTGGCCCCAAAAAGAATATTTACGAAACTACCATTATCTACTAGCATTCACTTGAGCACATTTTTGAGACACCACGGACCTTACAACGATGACATCACAAATGGGGAAGTGGACTCCCTCCGCATCTTCTTGAGTGAACAGGATAGGTGGTGGTTGATTTTTCCTACAATTTCCATCTACTATGTAACTTGTCAATGGGTGGTGCTTAGCTTTTCTAGCACAGTTCCTTTGGGCGTTTCATATCTCACCATCGACGTAGGGGCCTCCAAATATTGTATCTATTTCATAGATTCGAGCATCTGCTTGTTAAGCTTGATAGCCCCTACGCTATATCTATCCCTCTCTAGGCCTTTCAGTATTTTGCTCTTATCATCAATACAGGGATACATTCAAATGGCGGAAGTGACCTCTCCACACCCAAGCTGCTGGTCATGCCTAGGTGGAGGTCCTGTTCACTTGCGACGAATTATTCCTTAGTCGTTTGGAGAACTTGCCTGCTGGGATGTCAGACGATATCCTTACAATTTGTCATTGCCATGTGTTTTATGCAACATGGTTTAATCGCAAGTGTACGGTATCAAGTTTTGTAATATAGTGATAAAATTAAAATGACGAACCCAAGGGATTGTTATTTGATTCCTATCGAATACTATAATTATTTTAACTTCTACTTTATTCAGAAAACCAATTTTTGACTTGACGTGGTCATGCTAAATTAATATGTTGTAAATTAAATGGCAATTCAAACAACTCAAGATGAAATAGAAATAATCAATGCAAGGAAGTCTAGGGAATGATTTCACCGCACTATCAAGAATGTTTTTAAATCTCAGTGATTATTTCTCTAAATTATTCTCAATTTATAGTCAAGAACCATAAATTAATCCCATTCCCTCTCTCAAGCACCAAATAGAATTCATCTCTATACTCTAATCTCAATATCTCTATTGAGGATTAGACCTATAAAAATTATTAAGCTCTTGGTTCTTAATTTGAATTAAGTCTCAAAGAATTCGTACTTTGTCTTGAAATCTACGAAATCTATGTTATTCATAGATCAAGATTAAATCTCCCTCTCTCAAGTGCCGAAATTCAATACATCAATTCATTCAACCATTAATCAGGTGATTGAAAGCAATAAGCATGAATAACACAAATAAATGTCGGAGAATTAAAGAAATACCATATCAACATCTAAACATTGTATCAAGTTAGGTTACATCAACCCTAGATCTAAGATTTTAGTTCATAATTGATGAAAATGATATTCTAAAATACAGATAAACGAACATGGAGAAGAAAAGATTAGGAAAAACTCAGTTGATGCTTCGAATCTTCTCCAATGATTGTTGATCTTCCTTCTTGAAATGCTTTTTTTCTTGTTTTTGCTTTGAATTGTCTTTTATACTAGAAAAATTCCCCTTCTTGGTCTTTTTCGTGGTATTTATCTTTTTCAAAAGTTACAAGACGAGAAGAATCGGATCTAGACCAAGAGAAAATGCAACTTTCCTATTTTTGCATCGGGCACTGCAGCGCCCAGAATTGGCACCGCGACGTTTCTCTTGTTGGCGCCGTGGCGCCAGCCTTACTAAAAATTTTCTTTTGTTTGGTGCCGCGGCACCCAGTTTTCTATTGACTTTTTCCTTTTCTTGGGTGCTCAAGCGCCCAAATCTAACGTCACAGCGTCCATGAAGCTATCCCTTCTTGCGTTGTTCAATTTCCACGCTTCGTTGCCATGTTCTTTTCCTTCGATTCTCTTTACTTCATACTCAAATTTTATGAACTTCATTACGGCTCCATCACAATTCCAAAACATGGCGTTTTCTTAAAAGTTATCTAAGTTGCAAAACAACATGAAAACCCTCATCAAAACATTCAAATGTGCTCAACGACATTTCGAAAACTAATATTTAAATGTGCTAAATTGATGAGTGAATTGCACTCATCCATTATATCATAAGTATGAATGATGATATGTGCAATATCCAAGGAAATTCAGCCTAGGCCTAAGTCCAGAACCTCGCAGTCAACCTCTTCCTCTACAGGGGGCCTACTATAGATTCCTAGCCTATTATGCATTTGTCCCTGGGGTAACATCCTCATAAGCCAATGTAGGCACCGCATTTAAGGTAGTTTTAGTGAGTGCTTGTCCCAAATTCTCATTACTAGCCTGGTCCATTTGATAATCCATCAAGTAGGAGATAAGTCCCCTCTCGCATTGCCTTTGTTCAGGCAGAAGGCCCATATTGGCCTTATTTCTATGATCAATCAAATCTTCATTGATAATTTCCCATCTCATCATCTCCAACAGCGCATCATAAGTAGTGGGATCCTAATTTTGTAGTCTCTCCAGAACAAAGTGTTCATGTTCAAGCCTCTTCGCAATGTTGATAGGGCCTCACAATCAGTAACTCACGCAATATATCATCTCATCGGTAAAATGTGATAAGAAGTTTTTCAAAAATTTTCCAGACTATTGCCTCATGTCTTGGAGGCGTTAGATATGGGCCTCTAATTCTTTGCTCACTGCGAACCTTTTCAAAAAGGTGGTCTTGAACTCAGAGCAACTTCTTATACTCCCAAAAGGTAGTCTAATATACCAAATTTCAATTGGTCCACTAAGAATCAAGTGGAACGCTCTACACTTTACAGTTGGGGTAGTGCCTCTCAAACTCATGTGGGTATTGTAAGTATTCAAATGTTTTGTCGAGTCGCCTCTCCCATCATACTTTGATGTTTTTGACATCACATAGTGGCTCGACATTTGGGCATTTCTTAGTTCTCAAAAAAGGGAAAATTTTCATCATAGTCATCTAAATCACAAGATTGTTGGGCTCATTCGAGTCATAGTTCTCACGGCCTCATATCTAGGTAGCGGCAAGAAGGGTCTGCTTCGTTTCTAGCCTTCTCTTCCCTCCTTTGACACATATTTTTAAGCGAAGCCTCACGGAGGGCATTTTCTTGTCTTTCCTCCAGTTGCCGAGTTGCAGGAAGTAGGGGTTGTGGCCTAATTCGAGGCTCTGGAGCTACCTGCGCCTTAGTTCGACTAGGTTGATTCTATCAAATATGCTGCTAGACCTTCTAGGTCACATTCTTACTCAAATTTTGGTGGAAAATTGTCCTTCGCATTAAAAGGGACCTCAGTAGGTCGACCCGAGACATAATTCAAAGAAATATCTATGCCCACTTCTCTTTTGAGGGGGCTGGCTTCCCTGCCAGGCCTAGAAGACGTGGCTCTCTGGCTTTGTACCTTATCTTCTTACTGATATTGTCCTTGAAGAGCATAGGGAAGGATTGGATAACCTCTCTAGCCCTGCATCTGCATCAATAGTTCTTCATTGCCAAGTTTAGATTCGTGATGCTTCTCATGTTAGCTGTCATAGTAGCTATTTTCCTTGTGAGTTGAGCAGTCATTCGCATCCCCTAACGCCTGTGATGATGGTGGGGTTAGAGGGGTTACAGCTTGAGAAACTACACCAATGTTCTCTATTACCTTTCTAGGGGATACATCCTCATCAAAACTCATTTTTTCACAATCCAAACTTAAATTTGATCGACTTGAGGAGCTTCATCTTATTCTTTTTCAAGAAAAAATCATTTTTCAAGGGGAATGCCCGAACTATCCTTCAAACAATCTTTTTCCACGAGGTCGCTGGTGGTTATAGTGTGGTTGCCCACAGATGGCGCCAAACTGTTGATCTCAAAAAATGAGCTAGCAAGTGTCGTGTTACGTTGGAGTACACACAGGTTGATCTTAACACACAATCTCAAATAATGAGTCAATAATAATCCAATACTACGAGTAAACAAGGGTTTGTTTCATATCATTAACCACGCTAAATCGTTAAAACACAGAAAGGTGTGAACGTGATTGTATATGAGATAATTTAACTAAAGAGAGAATGAGTATATTGAAGTATCAGGAGTTGCATTAGTCCTCAAAACTTTCTTTAACACCACCAATGGAGTCTTTGATGTTGAGTTCAAATTTGAGCCGCATTGGATCAAAGCACTATCATCAAGGGAATATCAATGAATTTACCAAGAAAATCCCATCAGGTATAATCAAGGATTTTCATCGAAGAAACAAACCTCTCCCACTGGATTCCTCTCTCTCTCTCTCTCTCTCTCTCTCTCAGTTCAAATAATACCAGGAGACATCACTTTCTATTATAGGACCAAGAAAAATGGATTCAAAATTTAAACTAATGTACCAATGAGAGCGGGTGACACACAAGACAATAAGAGGAAGGGATCACAAGATAATCTCTAATCTTTGGATTTAATATAAGGTCTATAATCCTTTCAAACTAGCACAATCTTCACCGAACTCACTTGTCAAATAAGCATCATGTGTACTTGAGTGATCCACGCTCACAAGTAATGTATTGGAGAGGTGGTAACTACAGAATAACGTAGTGGGGCACGACGCTATATATCATCTGGTCATATGTATTTGTTGAATATGACGAGTTGTAATAGAAAGTGTTGGAATCTTATGGAGAAATATTGATAATGACGATCAACTCAAACGACGTGTTTTCATTATAATGAAAAATGAGAGCTGAGTTTATTACTAGATAAAAATGTAATTTGTAATGAAGAGTGTTCTGCTTCTAATAGATCATCAACTACCAAACTACAATACTCTTTTCTGTAGAGTTTTAATCTTATGCCTCTTTTTCAAATATTTGGTTCTACGGCTGGATCGTCAATTAAACTTACATTCTTGTAAAAAATTATTTTTCAGAGGAAAATATATTGACTTTGTCTTGTAAGCATAGTAAAAATAAATTTTTACTTCGGATACAGAAGAAATATAACCCGCTTTATCAAATAATAATAATAATAATAATAATAGTCTACTTCATAAATGACCACAGAGAAATACAAATAACAACGATAATAACTCGATTGAGAGAGATCCAAGTCAGTGTCTCAAGAGTGCAAAAGCGGAGAAGAGAAGTGTGGTCGCAACGACGGCGCCGGAGACTGGCAAAGAGAACGCATCTCCTTTGTCCGGTGAAGGCGCCGGTGCCTGAGCAGA